CTGCTGAGCTCCAGTTCATTTGCAAATTTGACACCATCAGATCAGGATTAAACAAAGACTGTGAATGGCTATCCACCTACAGAAGCAGTTTCTCCTCCCTTAGAAATTGCTGCTGGGGAGAAGTACAGTAGAATCTCAGAGTTATGAACACCAGACTTACAGTCTGACCCATCCACCACATACCTCATTTGGAACCAGAATTATGCTATCAGGCAGCAGCAGAGACAACAACAACAAAAAGTAAATATAGTACAGTACTGTGTTAAACATAAAGTATTTAAAAAAAAAGGAAAAGTTTTTAAAAAATTGACAAGGTAAGGAAACTGTTTCTGTGCTTGTTTCATTTAAATTAAGATGGTTAAAAGTAGAATTTTTCTTCTGTGTAGTAAAGTTTCAAATCTGTATTAAGTCACTGTTCAGTTGTAAACTTTTGAAAGAACAACCATAATGTTTTGTTCAGAGTTCTGAACATTTCAGAGTTGCAAACAACCTCTATTCCCAAGGAGTTTGTAACTCTGCGCTTCTACTGTAACCTATTGTAAGCCTGTAACGGATACAGCTTATTTCTCAACTCATGCCAACCCCATTATGCCGGTCAACAAGAGAGTGCGGGGAAGAAAATGGGACAGAATTTAGGCTCTGTCCAATCCCGAACTCTCTGCCGGATCGGCGGGTAGTGATCGATCTATCAGGGATCGATTTATCGCATCTAGTGTAGACACAATAAATCGATCCCCGATCACTCTGCCGTTGACTCCCGTACTCCACCGTGGCAAGAGGCAGAAGCAGAGTCGACGGGGGAGCAGCGGCAGTCAACCTCGTGCCATGAGGACGCGAGGTAAGTCGACCTAAGATACGTAAACTTCAGCTACGCTATTCTCGTAGTTGAGGTTGCGTATCTTAGGTCGAACCCCCCACCCAGTGTAGACCAGGCCTTACTGGCCCCACTTCCTCATAGGGAGGAGTATCCAAAGTAAGGGACCATGCTCCACACTAGACCTGGACCCAAAGTCCAGGAAGATCTCACTTTGCCATGTGGAATGGAGAACCTTACTTGCGGCATGGCTGAATAAGTCAAGGATACAATTCAGTCTATAAGTGGTCCATGTGCAAATAGTCACACTGAAGTCAGTGAGCGTCTCCATGTGAGTACAGACCATTCACATGAGCATGGATTTACAGGATTGGGACATTTTAATAAAGGCACAATCATTTATAAAGGATAGGGGAGTAAATAATAAATTGTTTGTATAGTGTTTTGAATACCCAAAGCGAATCATAAGTGCCAAGCATTATTATTACTGAAGAGCAAGTTTCTGTTTTCTAGATTGGCTAGTAAGTATGGGGGTAACTTTGCCCATTTATCTGATACTGGTTTCTGAGTTTCTTGAACATATATTTTCTATTTCTTTTTTATTGTGTTTAAATAAACATATTTAATTAACTAGTTGAAGTGTTTCTTGCATGTAAAGGAAATATAAATGGATAAACTGTTTTATTTTATCCCCTTTAAAAATAATACACTTTAAAACAGAAGCTCAGGCAGGGTATTGGGGAATGCTACTCTGTCCTGAAAAAATAACAGGAACTGGGTGATGGTAGCAATGTATATCAAGTAAATAAATCCTTCAATATGCATGTGTTACAAACAGGTCTGGCACTTTCTGGAGAGGGCCATAATAATAACAACTATAAACGTAGTCATAACATTAAAAAAGACACATGACATTACCCAAGACATTAACTTTAACATACACTACAAAACAGAGATCAAAATGGCACATATGTAATTTATTTTTAATTTCGCTAGTGCAGCCCAGGTTTCTTGGGAAAATGTCTAGAAAAAAGATAGCAACTGCCCCAGGCTCCCCACCCCCCCTTTAGTTTGTTTCCAAGTATCTGATTGGAAAAAAAACTAGGTGAGATCTGAAGTTGCAGAGTTTAAGAGGCTGGACTGTGTACACTATTTAGGGTTGTCATCTTATTGTGCCACCAAACTCATGGTAGTCCCCCATCGTTAGACAAATCTTGTCCTTAAGTGTTATTAGGAATTAAAATTCAACTGAGTACCACTCCTTTTAGCTTTAACTAGTAACAGACTCAAGGCCAGCTAGGACTTTCCAGTCACCCTACAATGGTTACTCACAACTGCGCAGGAGGGTGGGAGAAAGCTAACTGGAAAAAAGAATGAAAAATGTTGAAAAAGTTAATTTCCATTTTTGACAAAAATGTCCAACCTGCTTTACTCGGAACATTTCAGGTAGCAACGGGACCCCGAGCTCCAATCCCTCTGGCTCCAGCAGCACTACAGGGACAGCGGAAGGGGACGACACAGCAAGCACTCTCCAGCAGCCAAGACAGAGCATTTTATGTGTCCTGCTACTCCCACCAGCGTGCGCTCCGGGTTATTTAGTAAAAAGACCAGGAGTACTTGTGGCACCTTAGAGACTAACAAATTTATTTGAGCATAAGCTTTCGCGGGCTACAGCCCACTTCTTGTTTGCAAAGCCCCGTGCTGAGTCTTGGAATGGATTCACCGGCAAATCATTGCTAAAGGGAAGGCTCTGATGAAGTCCGCTACAATATGCTCGTCCCTGAGCCAGCTTTCCCCTGTCTCTGCCAGCTAAGAGGGACCGCGGGGGAGGGAAGGGGAGGGGATGTCTGTGGAAGGCGCAGTGTAGTGCCGCAGAGGGGGGGAGGGGAGCGATAATACGTAGAAGGGGATCGGGGATCACTAGATCCGTATGAAAGATGTGGAGGGGGCATCTCCCGCGGGGCTGGGAAAGGGATGTGCGATATCGCTCTCGTACAACAGTCTGGTGGGGGAGGCAATAGTTGAGGGCAGCCTGGTGGGTCTGAGGGGTACCCCGGACAGGGAGGCCTCCCTCGGGGCCCCGGGCTGGACACGGGGTAGGTGGATGTGGGGTGTGCCCCAAGCTGGGCCCTGCATAGGTGAATGCTCTCCTGAGGACCCCGGGCTGGGAAGGGGATATGGAGGGTCCCCCTCAGGGGCCCCAGCTAGTTGGGTCTAGGGATGCCCCGCAAGGTACTGGGGGGCTGGGCTGGGAGGTCAATACCCCGCTGAGGGGGAGGGGGTGGCGTAGCACAGGCGCTGCCCCCCTGGCGGGGAGGGGGGTGGCGTAGCACAGGCGCTGCCCCCCTGGCTCCGGCCGCGCGCGGAGGGAGGGGCCGTTCCCCCCTTGCGGAGCGGGCTGGGAGGGTCGCCGCGGCACGTGGTGGCGAAGGCGGCGGCCGCGGCGCCCATGTGACTCGTCCCCCCGCCCGCCTCGCCCGAGCCCCCTGCGCGCTCCGTGCGAGCAGCATCCCAGCGTTGCAGGCAGCCGCCGTCGCCAGAGGGACCCGGCACCATGGTAAGGGCGGGGCGTGCTCGGGGCAATGCAGCGGCGAGGGCCCGCGGAGGGAGGCCTGGCGGAGTGAGGGGCTGAGCGGGTCCGGGCCCGTGTTCAGGCCCTGAGGCCTTCAGCGGCCATTTTAATCTAATTTTAGCGTGGGGGCTGCGGGGCTCAGCCCGGGAGGCCGGCGGGGGCTGCAGCCTGGCCGCTGCGGACGGGCGCCGGCCGGGATGCGGCGCTCCGGGCGGGGTGTGTGTGTGAAGGGAGGGCTGGTCCCAGCCTGAGTTCACAATGGGGGCCGGACCCCGCCAGTGAGCCGCGGGGGCTGCTGTGGTCGCAGGGGCAGGGTCCCCGCGGTGCTGTGGCTGAGGTCTGCCCGTCGGGTGCGATGCGGATGGGAGGTTGGTGGTGGGGATTTAAGGCTTATCGCCTCTGGCTCAATGCGACTCTCCGTGGAGGACGCGGTATTATTGACCCTGCTGCTGCAGAGCCTCGGGCCCCCGGCCTTGCCTGCTTGATTTCCCCACCGCACGGGGAATTTGTGCTGCCAAATATCATGCGGCAGAGCTGGGGGCTGAGGAACAGATTATTTGAAGTGGGCAGGGTGCGTTCAGGGAGCAGTCAGTCCTGTCTGACTGACTTCACTAGCTGCAGTTCCCCCAGAAACCTGGATCGCTGTCCAGAGGGGAAGAGAGGGCAATGGAGCTGCATTGTCTCCTCTTTCAGAGGGGGAATTGGGAGTGAGCAGTCTAAGAGCTGTCAGTGCAGTGGCAGTTAAGCTTTTTTTAAGGTTTACATAACCATCTTTCTAATAAGAAGAATTTGCAAGCAAATCAGAGTTTAATAGTGGAGATGGGCTAGTATAACCTTCATTTCTTCAAACAAAATGTATTTCCTATAATTAAACTAGGAAAAGATACAGATTATATTCCAAAAGGACCTGGGTTGTTTTTTTATTTTGTTATTTACCTGGTTTCTTGAAAGCAGCATGCTGTACCTTGGAAACTGCTGTGTTTTAATAAAGAATATAGTGAACTGAAAACAAAGATGTGTTTAGCTAGCTTGTAAGTAACAAGCTAAAAATTTTGTAGGGAGTTTGCTATCAACTCTCTCAGTATATTGTTCCTTACTGTTTTAGGTTAGGGTTCTGAATGGTTTGGAACTACTATAGTGTGTTGTACAATTTGTACTTTCCTATGTAGAAACTGCAATGGCTTTTTTTTTTTAGTGCATCAGCATTAAGTTAAAGCAAGGAATTTTAAAAACATAACATTGAAGTTGACACAACTCAGAAGGCATTTCTACTGCTTCTAGAGCCTTACATCACTCAACAAAACTAGAATCATTACACTACTGGATATGAACTGCTGGTATTACATTTGTTCCAAATAAACCTCCCCCCAAAAAATAAACAAAAAAACCCACCCCTGGCTGAGCCAAATATATGATAAACTAATAGATAATTGGTTGATATGTGCAATGGAAACCCAGTTATTTAGGATCAATAACTCAAAAGGAGATGATGCTGAGATAAAGAAATGAATAAATTAGGGGGAAATTTTGTACAGTTTTATATCTGATACAACCCCACTGACATCATTTCGTTTCTAGAGTGTTCAGGTTTAGTATAAAATTTTTGTTCTGAATTTGTAGAGTAGATTTCTCTTTATTTAGTATCAGATATTATCTTCCCCATAGTCAATGTTGGTCATTTTGCATTTAAATAATTATTCCCTTCATCTCATTTACAGGCTTCTGGAGTAACAGTGAATGATGAAGTTATAAAGGTTTTTAATGACATGAAAGTAAGGAAATCTTCAACCCCAGAAGAGATTAAAAAAAGAAAGAAAGCAGTTCTTTTCTGCTTAAGTGATGACAAAAAACAGATAATTGTAGAGGAAACAAAGCAGATATTAGTTGGTGATATTGGCGATACTGTGGAAGACCCCTACACATCCTTTGTGAAGTTGTTACCTTTGAATGATTGCCGATATGCTTTGTATGATGCCACGTACGAGACAAAGGAGTCTAAGAAAGAAGACCTGGTATTTATATTCTGGTGTGTGAAATCAGCTTGCTATTAAAACTGAAAATTCTTTACGTTTTCCTTCTAATATCAATGGGTTAAATAATTACTTTTTGCCTTTACAGGGCTCCAGAAAGTGCACCTTTAAAAAGCAAGATGATCTACGCAAGCTCTAAAGATGCCATTAAAAAGAAGTTTACAGGTACAGGCTTCTGATATTCCACAAAGCAGTTACAGTTCTTCTCAGTGTTGAGGGACTGAACAAATATATTTTTATCCATTTGTCTTTCAGGTATTAAACATGAGTGGCAAGTAAATGGTTTGGATGATATTAAGGACCGTTCAACACTTGGAGAGAAATTGGGAGGCAATGTGGTAGTTTCACTTGAAGGAAAACCCTTATAGAAAGACAGACAAGTGCCATCTGGATCTAAGGAGCTTCCATTTCTGCAGCTCGTTCAATTGGAATAGTATAACTCCTCCTCCCCCCCTCCATTCACATGTCTACAGACCTGAAGGAGATGTCATTAAATTAAACTGTCTACCAGTGATTGCCATTAGATTCTTTAATCCTGGTAGTTTTATGTAAACCCCAAGGAATGCCTTCATGTCATACTCTTAGCCAAAACTGACGTTGCATGCATTCCGTGCAACCTGTACAATGAATGTGATAGTTAATGTGAATAGTCTAGCAAACAGCAAAGGGTAAGCTAATTGAATGCCTTGAAAGTATTATCCACTGGTCAGATGGTAGACTCTATTCAGTATTACTTACAGTTGCACTTGATTGCAGTTCCATGAGGCTCTTGTGCATTCTCACACCTCACCTGCCTTGACAAGCCTATTTTTGTGACATGGCAGCACACAACACTATGCATTTAAAGCACTTTTTTGTAATATGTTTGATTTTTTTTCTTCCCCTCCCCCCCAAAGAAATGCCAATTAAGTTGCTGTAACTGTGTCATCAAACAATTGTAGTACATCGGTTTTCATTCCTGTTACATGCATATCTTTATAAATGAAGTAGCTGTTCTGATGCCTTTTGTTTTCCATTGAATGTACACTACTGAACAGGAGTAGGAGTTATGTTTACCATGTGAGTCTTGCAACACTAAAGTTGTTTTGTTAAACATCAGTCATGATGGCAGTTTCTGTATAAAAAGAGCCTTAAATGGAACACTGTTTTTGAGATCAAAAAAAAAAACCTGGCCACGTTGCAATAAAACTTGTGGCTTATTACAGAATGTTGCCTTGTTTTCATTGGAAAATATAGTTTGAAGTATGTTTAAATTAAGCATATTTTGAATAACTTAACGTCTATGGAAAGTATTATAAAGGTAAACAATCATTAATCTCAACTTCAATAACAGTTTTTCTGCCCTAGTCGTAATTTAGACATTGCTTTACAGTAATTTAACTGTTCTATTCTGTTGATTTGGATAAAGGACCTCTTCCCAGTTTATAACCATTTCAGTAAACAAGCTGCCATTATTAGGGAGCGTTCGATCCATAACTCATTTGTATCTGAAGTTTACAATGTAGGAATTTGTTACCCATTCAGCGTATTTCTTTACCTGAATTCTCCTGAAGTTCTATATGTCAGTAATGTTTGGCTGTAACATTTGTTTCCAATCTGATGTGTAATGGCAGGGAGATCTTACCTTCATACAAGTGAGTTACAGGGCTTGAATAGTTAAATCTTCATTGTTTCTATACATGCTGCAGGAACACTGACTCAGTGTAAGAAATATCCTAAATGAATGGTTCAATTTGTTAATTTTTGTGCAAAAAGAACTGGAAAGTGTTTTCCACTACTGAGTCTTGCATCAGGGACATGGTTTGGCTAAAAGCCAAATACTGCTCTCCTTATAGAGAATTTGATCTGCTCAGTGTGAGCAATCCTCTCTTAGCCAGAGCTATTTATGGCTAACGCATGCTTTTGTATCTTGTCATCGTTATCCACAAATGGCAAAACTGGACATGATTTTACTGGTATGCATAAAGGAACTCTATTAGGCAGCCAATCACAGCTGAAATGTACATGCTACTAGAAGAAATACTTTTATCATTACCCTATTTTTGAAAGACAGAGTAGAACTATGAAGTTTTAAATGTTGAGTTTTTATTTTCAGTCCTTAACCCTCTCAAAAGCAGAGCAGATAATGGCAAACACCTTTGTAAATTGAATGACCTAGCAATGTTGTAGTCTGGATCTCTTGTCCTGTGCAACTTTAAGACTTTATTTCAGGCTTCCAGCTGTCCCTAAAATTTACACATTTCATTTTGATACCTATTTTATGTAGGCTAAATTCTGCTACAGTGCAGTTTAACAAAGCATGCTGACCACTGACTTGTTAAACATGTTAATGAATTTTGGTTTTTGTACTACAAAACTCTCAAGTATCTTTTACTGAAGCTGAAAAATAACTGACATGCATGGGAGTTGTCTACAATGATCTTTCTTGATTTCTCAATCTTTATTTCCAATTATACACCTTGTGTGCAGAGCCTAGTTAATATCAGAATCCAATGTGTGCTTAATATATGGTACTGTAATGAACTGAGATTAAAAATGTATTTTTAATCTCCATTCATTGCAACACATATACTATGCCACAAAATACCTTTATATTGTAAACAAATCAGTTTATACAAACAACTTAATTAGACATCAAAACAGCTTAAAATTAAGATGTTAAATTTTAATTGAAATTCCATTTTAGTCAGCAATTTAAATAAGTACTGTGTTTAAATTTACATTGTCCTCTGCTACTC